CCCCCCCCCCCCCCCCCCCCCCCCCCCCCCCCCCCCCCCCCCGCTTATTCAGCGGCTGGCTGAGTCGTTGCGAAATTTTCGGACCGATTTATAAATGTTAAAACCCCCCCCTTGAAAAAATCCTGCGTACGCGCCTGGTCAGAGGTCTACCTTTTATTTTGTTCCACGTGATTATAGGTACAGGGTCCGGCTTAAATGAATAAGTAGAATGCAGAACAATACTTTTAAATCAAATGTCAAAATATTGAAATAGATACCTCAAACCAAACTCCCAATCTTTGCTTGGAAAGCAAATCATATAAATTGCCACTCCGGCACGACATGGCTAACATTTGTTGAAAAGTGTAAAGACCTCCGTTAGTACCCCTGATGAAAATCTATAGTTTTACTGATTAATTAATAGAGGTTTTTATTTCCGTACTAAAATAATGTAGATATTGACATCAGGCAAGTTCCTTGAACATTTTTTTTTTGGGGGGGGGGGATCGAGGGGGTCCTGATTTTTGTTGTTGCTACATGTACATCGCTTAAATTCATTAATAATAAAGTATGGCGGCCTGAAGATTTTTTTTTTAATTGTGAAGAGAGGCTTCATCTCCCAAGCTGAAGATGAGATTCTGGATATAGCAATCAAAAGTACCATGCACTGAGAGATTCCAGTTGAAATTATGAACTAATATTCGTATTCTTTCCCCTTAGAGTTTATTTCTCTTATACTTCTCTGGTCTCTTCTCTCGCTCTTTGTCTCCTTTTCACTTTTTCATTTCCTTCCTAATCTCCATTAACCTTTTTTCTTCTATACTTTCAATACTCAATATTTCTTCTCATCCTTCTCTTCGGAATATTTCTCTGCTCTTTCCTCTGTCCATCATAACAGCTCCTGCTCTCTTTCGCCCTATCACTTCTTTCATTTTCCCAAGAGCCTTATCACAACATTTTCCTCAGTATTTGACAAACATGATAATATAATAACCATTTGATAATTTCATGTATTTTGTTGTTTTCCTTGTCAGTGTTTATTTAATAAGGATCAGTTGAATACTTCTTTCATATTTTTACCGCGTACATAAACGTTTCATTCAAAGAAAACCAATATCCATACCATAAATGCATCCATGGTGGGTCTCTGCGATATCTAGCTGGAGGTCATGTAAGCAGGCATGGGCCTTGAGATGGCATTCACTGCGGTAATAGTCTCCGTTTGTACCGCAGACAGTCGGCCCTGATGTCAGGCATGATGCTGGATTGATACAGCCACAGATTGTAGTGTTTGGTCCCGTGGCTTCACATCGCTGCCATGATTCACAGCGCACGCTCGCACACGGTGACACTTGATGAACAACGGCTAATCAGGAATATGCACGCAATTAAGACGAAGATAGAAAATTCACATCCAACATTAGATTTAAATATTCCAATAACTAGTATGATTTACGTAACGGATTGCACTTTTCGGACAATGATTACCATGAATCCCAGCCTGTTCATGTAACAAACACAATTGTAGCCTAAATAGTTTATGTTTCTTAGCCTCCAATTTATTAAGGCCAGCATTACTAAATATAGGCTATGCCAGTGTTTATAATTACAAAACAGCCAGGGTCTATCAGGAAAAAACCCAATTTAATTGCGATTTCAAAAGTTTAAATATCTCTCAAATTTTGGACATGAAGAAGAGAAGTAAGCTGCTCCCAAGTCCCTGCTATAACAGAGGTGATAATCTACAACAATCAAGGAAGGGTTGGAGAATCTAGAAGAGGACACCCCAGTTGGCAATTGGTTAAAAAGGGTCATGTGACATACCTTCACAGGTGGGTAAGGGATCCGACCACACCCCACTCTCCAAGCATCGCAGGTTGTTGGTATCACCTCGTAGAACGTAACCCTCTTTACAGTGGAAGATCCTCTCATCTCCACTGTCCCTCCCGTAGCCATAGACACCCTCCATGATAGCATGGTCTGGTATGGTGAGCTCCGGGCATCTGCTCGCTATCAAGAGAAGATGTAAACGTTATAGATTCGAATAAACCGGTTTACTAACATATTAAAATGTGTAGTGGTAGTTATTTTACCTGACTGCTAAGAGAGCATAAATGCTTGTTAGTAAGCAACCAGAGGACCGACGGCTTTAGGTCCTCTCGGGAAGACCTCGTAATGAGGATTAAAATTCACTAGCACATCGCCTTGGTTTCGTACCGGATTACAAGACCACTGCTCTCCAAACTGGGATATCGCACCGCGTATTGATGTTTCTTTCCTATAGGGACCTAGTGACGAGTTATTCCATTAACCTGTCATCACTGAATGAAATGCAATACTCGTAATCCAATCTGTATATTTATTACGTATTGCTATGTCGGACAAGCCTCGGGTAAGCTTTCAGGTCGTCAAGAACAACTTTTTTTAAAATTGTATGCATTAAATGTGGATATGTTAGTAAGGCGGTATATATTGTGTTAGGTTTTTAAAGTTACGTTTATTGTTATTACGTTATTAATTTCTATGTTGTTACCAAAACAAAAAAAATGACGTTCAATTTCTAGGTTCGGCGTATAACAGCATTCATAATAACGGGTACTTTTATACGACGAATTCGAGTACGGCTCATAAATTTCAAAAGGAGAAATTGACCAATGATAACTGCGTGCTATTCAGGGAAGTATGCTAACCGGACCAAAAACTATTTGGGAATGATATTGATGAGATATTTCTGAATTGCTAAAAAGGCTGGCACTTTAAAGATGAACAGAAAGTTAATTAGTTGTTTGATCATATCGTGATTATTGTAAACACGGAAAACACGGAGAAAAACGCAACATCTTCGTATCTAGTTCAGCGAATCATATTTGTGAAAAAAAAACCTATTACAAATTTATGAGAAAAGTCTCATCAAAATAATTTTATTCTCAAGCTTCGAAATATTATCTTTCTCGTAAAAAATGCTTAACTGCACGTAAAGTGGATGATCGAGTGCGCAGACATAAATATAGACATAAATGAATGAGAACCTTTGATTATGCAATGTCAAATGACACCGCCGCCTTTTCTTGTGAAAATGATATATAATGGTTCTTATTCGATTTTTTATCTGATTATTTTCACTTTCAAATGTAATGTTAGGTGCGCAGACTTGAGGCTCTCCATCGTACCTGTACATACGGGAGGATCATCCGACCATTGACCCTTTTCACATGTGATGCTCCTAGATCCCACCAGGCGGTAATCTTCTGCACATTCGAATGAAACCGAAGTTCCAGATGGAAAGATATCTCCGGGCTGCTGTCTGGAACCATCTAGTAACCTCCCGTGCTCTGGAGCCGCAGGGACGTCACATTCAGCAGCTATATCACGGTCAAGAGAACAAAATCATTTACTCAATTTTAACTATATGATAGATTTTATTCTGTATCTTATTTTAAAAATCTTAGTTAATGTATTGAAATATTTCAATTTGTTAACATTTAACACGGTGTGGTATGTTTTTTTTTTTCTTCTAAATCATAACAAAATACATTAAAATTGAAAAGGCCGTAATTATAAAATCAAGAATATAAAAGTGAATGGCCAAATAGCTCACTCAGCTTTGTCAACATGAAAATTAATACATTTAAAAAAAGAATACAGCAATACGGTGAAGTGAGGGACTTTATTTAACTTAATAGACGTCTCTTGAGGATCGTTTCAGCCTTTAAATTAAAGGCTCCAATAAGGTGATGTAATTAAATTTTGTTTTATTATTGATAATTTCAGATATTATTATCAATACTGCATTCGTTAACTTTTATGAACAAGATATAACTATGATAACATTCCACCATGGACACAGTCATCATTTTATTCGAAGCTCTATTCTTCTTCATGTTTATGACATTGTTTCAAAACGTGAGATGGAGTCTGTGCAGACTAACGTGCCCCTACCCGTGTCAATACACATCTGCCCCATGTACATATACATGTGCGTCACCAGCATTTCTGCCGTAGTTTTCATTGTGTGTGGGTATGTGTGCGTGTGTGTGTGACAGCGCGCCCACATGCATAATTTTCATTTTGTATTTTGTTTTTAAAACCCTCAGATAATGTATTAAAATATATATTTTTTGTTTTGTTTTACTTGCTCTAATTATTGAATGTTATTATTATTGTTATTGCATGTTATTATGTATTAATTTACTAAAACATCGGTGCTTAAAGGTCAAGACCAGTATTGGAAACGCCCCAATTTCAAAAAATTAAATGGAAGTTCTTATTACCAATCTTGTGAAAGAATATGTTTTGACTAATACATGATGATGACAATTTTGCCGGGAAACCGCCTACTAATTGATATATTTGGTAATTTTGTTTATCTATTGGTGTGTGAGAGATAAACGCACGTGTCGCTTACGTGTGCGTAAAGTCCCATATACATCTTTCTGTGTACAGTGCTTGTAACTTTACGAAGACTGGGAAAAATTTCCAGAACCTTGCAGTACACACCAATACTTATATGCTAGATGATTAACCTTTTCTGATCGATTCCACAACGTTTCTTTCACAATGCAATCGCATGACCATAACTGGTCTTTATCTTTAAAATTAAACTTACCTTTTTTCAATTTATATATAATATTTGTTTACAATTCATATTTTAAAGTAGAATATAATTTATATTTAATGGAATCAAATAAAGATCGCGGGAAAAAAAAGAAAAAGAAAAAAAGAAAAAAAAAAAAAAAGAAGAAAAAAAAAGAAAAAAAAAAAAAAAAAAAAAAAAAAAAAAAAAAAAAAAAAAAAAGGTTAGTATACCTTTAAACAGCACATGTACGCTGTGAAATGATGACGACCCACTGCATGTATACATGCCAGAGAAATCAGTAGAAATCGGACTCAGCCTTTTTTTATGAGTATACAACCAGTGCGAATGCTGAAAGATAATGGAGAGAGATGACCAACTTACATTTTTGCAAAACATTCCGAAATATACACAAGTCTCACGAATTAAAGCGCCGAATCGACCATCACGAATGGTCAGAATGTATTTCCCTTTTCTTTTAATTCCCTCTCTGTTTAAACTTTGCTATATGCAATCCCGCCCCCCCCCCCCCCCCCCCCCCCCCCCCCCCCCCCCCCCCCCCCCCACTCTGAGAACGAAGGGACCGCATGCGTTTTACCAAAATGTCCGGTAAAGGGGGACTTTTCGTGCGACAAAGTCCGGCCCGAGAATTGTAAAAAAAGGGGTGTATTTGACTTTTCACCCGGAGATTTCTTTAAAAAGGGGTGTTTTGTCTTTTTTCTCTAATCTCTTTGGACTCCTGAGAAATTATACTGAATTTAGGGGGGTACATTGAGCATTTTTCTGGATTTAGGAGGGTCTCCAAAGCAGGAAAAGCCCGTGAAAGGGGGGATCGGAAATATTGGCAGTCCTCAGATAGGGGGTGCTTTCAAAAAGAGGGAACAAGCATACGCGTACCCTAAATAACACTGAGTGGGTGGCCGGGTATGCAATAGACCAACAGCCCACAAGACCGAGAATATAGGTCTTGTATGATGTCGGTCAAGCTGTCTGTAGCCTTTGTATACTTTCCTGAAGTCATTTATGGTGGTGTTTCGTTGTCTCATTTTCATTCCCAATGTTAACAATGTTGCTAACCCTGAAAGCGCTAATATAGGAAATGAATTTACCGGTAAGTCTCTGTCATTCACAAGAGGAGTTGTCAGTCGAGGAGGTCTTAAGCTTAGACTTGTCAGTCTGCAGAGTACATTAAGATGCCTGGGACTTCCACGATACACGTACACCACGACTGTCCCATTACTGGCTACCTCACGCGATGCGCCGTGGAATAAGACTTTTGTTTGTACAGGTTCTATGAAGAAACAACATCGAATCATTGATTATTAACTGAGCAATTCATACATTCTTATTCATTTGCAACATAAATAAGCATAGGCCCACCGCCATAGGGAAACAGTGATTAAAATGGTCCGTAATTATTTAGTTAGATCCTCTTGTTAGATCCGACCCTAGACCTTAAATCACGTTTAAAAGGAAAAACTTAGACACCACACTAACTCCGAACGTTCTCTTTCACTCTCCCACTCTCTCCCTTCCCCCCCCCCCCTCTCTCTCTCTCTCTCTCTCTTTCTTTCTTTTTCTCACACATAAACATTCAATTATTAGTCTCTATACCTCTCTTTTTCCCTCACACAGCCCACCTTTCTCTCTCTCCCCCTCTTCCCCTCTCCATAAACTATATTACTCTCTTTCTGTCTGTCTGTCTGTCTCTCTCTCTCTTTCTTTCTTGCTCTCTCCTTCATGTTTTTCTTTCTCCTCTCTTTCTCTCTCTTTCTCGCATTTTCTCACCCAATTTCCTCTTCTTCTTGCTTGTCTTGCATAATACCCGTTACACACACGAGGCGTCATGCTAATCAGTCCATCATAAATTAAAGCAAATTTTCCACTTCAAATTTTACATGCATCTTGTGTAGGGTGTCATTCTCGTATGATGCGTCAGGTCCAAGACTTCGCCAGTCGCTGACGCGCAAAGAGTAGAAGAACCGGAAGCTGGACTATTGCATGCTGGGTAAAACCATATAGATGAGACCCTTTTTATTTTCTAAGAAGGCTTGAATTATTTTATAGCAATGTCTTCATAGAAGAAAGACACATGTTTAATAAAATATTAAGAGTCAGGCCTAAAGAAAGATGAACGGACGTTGTTTGTGGAATATTATGCCTTGCTGAAACCAAAGAAACCTTCTAGCCTTTCCTTATTTGCTTAAATTCTCTGGTTGATGAAGCGCTTTCATACTCACGGCATTCTGGTTCTACCCCGGTCCACTGTCCTCCTTCACAAGTTCGTCTTTGATCGCCATTCAATCTAAACTTGCCAGGGTCTCTACATCTAGCAACTAGCTGGGTGCCATCAGGTAAGGTGAAAGGGGTATAGTACCTAGTTATTGGCCTCGTCACATCTCCATTCACAAACTGGTGAACCTCTCCTCTGTTGATCGGTACTGGACAAGGTTTCTCTGAAGCAAAACGCCACAAAATACCCAAAATATAAAGATTAGTCGAAGGGCCGTAAACTTTTGCTCTAAATTCTTTTTCTTTCTTTTCGTTGTTGTTAGAAGTTTGAGGAATGCAAGTAAATGTTATTCTTTGCAATATTTTATGAAAGATATACTCGCAGTTCAGCTGAGGGGATATGTTTTTATCCTTGTGTTGGGTGAAAATGTTTCAAAATCCTCTCCTTAAAGCCGAGAGTTAGAAATAATAGGTGAGAAAACTTTGTAAGATATCATTTTCATAAATCAATTAGATTTAGATGGAAACATTAATTAAATTCACTGTAATTTTCCTTTGAAATGCTCTCGAAATCTAAGGGGGAAAAAAAAGACTCTATTACCTGATTAAGCATCGCCCTACCCTGCACCCCTCCACACTCCGTCAACTAAAAATTCGATATAAGTCATGGAATTACACAGTTAAAAAAAAAAAAAAAAAAAAAAATGTTTACCACATCGAGGCCAGGGGGAAATCCATGTTCCATTTAAGCATTGTGACGTCACAGATTGTTGTGCGATAGCACCCGCATCGCATCTTACTGAGACTTGAATCCTAGACCCACTCGGAACACCCATCGACCAGAGGTTACCGCCACCGCCTATGACCGTGTAGCGCCCGAGACGGTCGGTCTTAGGCATGCATGGCGATGAGCCAACTAGGAAGGATATAAAATAGACACATTTATTAACAAACTTAATTCCTTCAGAGAAGATATAGGGCCATGCACGTTGAGGAAGTTCGGATTACCAGTTTCGATGTCATGGCGTGTTCATACATTAATTCGTATCCGTGCTAGGATTTTTATATCACATAGTATAGTGAGTAAATAACAAAGATTACCCCTCTCCCTCCCCAGTTTTAGACAACCAGATTTCACCTTGTTTATAAAGGCCTACAAGAATCGTAAGCTTTACGATAAACAATTACTATTCTTCAAGTCTGAACGTCGTCTAAGGAAACGTCGGATATCAAAACGGTGTTAACGTATGTTTGAGCATCGTTTCGAAACAAAATCCGATGACGGATTAAGTACGAACAAGTGTATAAATGGGCGGGGCTTTTTATGAGCGCGCACCTATGATTGGCCAGTTGTCAATTCACTTTTCAAACATGTTTTTGTTTGTTAATGTTTTTATTCTAGTGTCTACATGACTCTAACGTTATCATCATTCTTTTATGCGACGTTCTTTATACAAGTTTCTTATAAAACAATTAATAGTTTGAACAGAGTACTAGAAGGTTGTATTCCCGCAGTTCCGGTATCCGGGTCAGGCTCTGTTTATGCAACAATTCTTTTCCTTTTTAATATCTAATGGTATGGTCATGACCAATAACAGTGTACAAAAAAGGAAGGTTGTTTTTAACCTATTTCCTGACGCTTCGGATCGGTTGCAACATACATGCTCTAGTGGACCCATATGAAAAATAGCACTGTTGATAACAAGGGTGCTCCATCCGACAAGATATAGATTAGTAAATAAATCAATAACAAAATAAAACATTTGCTCCGCGGTAGTTTCCTAAGCTGTCTTAAAGATAAGCTCCAGTACTGGTAAAAAAAAAAAAAAATTCTCACAGAATCAAACGAAACTTACACTGAATGTTCAAGATTACAAATAAATGACATGTGCCAAACAATTTTGGAAGAAAATGTATACTGGCTGAGTAATGAGCATAGAAAGACAAGGAAATCAAGGTAGTACTAGCCCCGACATCATGTGTGTTGTCCCATATATAGCTTTCTATGTGAGTGCTTGTTACTTTACCAAGACTCGGTCAAATTTATTATGATTTTGATGACTCCAGAACCTTGCAGTGCACAGCAATACTTACATGCTACATGATCAACTGTTTCTGATCCTTTCCACACCTTTTCTTTCACAATGCAATCGCATTACCAGTACTAAAGTTTATCTTTAATTCTTGAATTCATCTCTGGACCCAACGCTATACATTATACCATAAGTCCATGACCCTAAACCTAACATGAACCCAACTGCAACCCTCAACCTAAACCTATACTTTTGAGAAAAAATAGGTCACTTTTGGATCACATACACTTGTAAGGCACACACGCACACGCGCATACACACACGCACACACACGCACACACACAAAATCTCCGTCCTCAAGTACATCAAGAACATTCGTCATATGAAATGTATGATTAATCTGCTTTTCTCTATGTACATTTATATGTTAAAGATGTGTTGATTTGAGTGATAATGCATTTCAAAATGCGTATCTAAACTTAAGTACTATGATATATTAGTAACCATCGTAGAGAGAAGTCCCATGGTCTAGTAAAGGCAGATGCCATAATCCAAATCACCTTCTTCTGGGACCCGTTTCACAAAGCCTTTATCCAATGACAAATGACAAAAATCAGTGTCAAATATACTGATAACCATTCAGAAGCAATTATTTCAGTAGCTTATAACAAAAACTGTCGATGACAAGTTTTGTGAAACGGGGCCCTGAGTGCTTTCTTCCCCCCAGAAGGAAAAACCAGTTGCAACTGGTCCAGTTAAACCAGTTAAAGTCAACTGGTAACCCTGGAAATCGAAATGGGCCAGTTGAACCAGACCAGTTGAATTCTAACTGGACCAGTTAGAATTCAACTGGTCAGATTCTAACTGGTCCAGTTGGAATTCAACTGGTCAAATTCTAACTGGTCCATTTCAATTTCCAGGGTTACCAGTTGGATTTAACTGGTCTAACTGGACCATTCAAATTCCAATTGAAAACTCAATTAGTAATTAAAGGCATAAGTAGCACTTGTACTAATTAATTTTGCCAATTGGCAACAACCTAGTATAACTAGATCGTCTGCAATTTCCAATGTAAAGGCATTGGTAATAAGTAGACTTGTTATTTTACTATTTTGAATATACTTGTATTTTATCGAATCTATTTTAGTTCATAGTTAATGTTTTCCTAATTCATGTTTAATTAAATGTTATTTAAACGAAGTAATGAAATGTCCTAATAATTGGCAAATTTGTATTTGTAGTATTTTTTAAAATGAATTGCACATAACTAAATCATCAGCAATTAAGGAATATGCTGTAAATTCAGATAAATTGTATTGAAACATAGATGTGCACGCACCCCATATCCATCATGCAAATTAGCTGGTGTCAACTGGTTTTATGCACACGGACCAGTTAGAATTTGACCAGTTGAATTCTAACTGGTCCAGTTGGAATTCAACTGGTCAAATTCTTACTGGTCCAGTTGGAATTCAACTGGCCAGATTTTTAACTGGTCCAGTTGGAATTCAACTGGTCAAATTCTAACTGGTCCAGTTGGAATTCAACTGGTCAAATTCTAACTGGTCCAGTTGGAATTCAACTGGTCAAATTCTAACTGGTCCAGTTGGAATTCAACTGGTCAAGTTCTAACTGGTCCAGTTGGAATTAACAGACTAGTTATCAACTGGTGCAACAGACCCGTTATTAACTGGTGCAGCTGGAAATATGCCCACAGACCAGTTATCAACTGGTGCAACTGGAAATATGCCCACCGACAAGTTATCAACTGGTGCAACTAGAAGTATACAAACAGACCAGTTATCAACTGGTGTAACTGGTCATTATAAGGACTGGTTCCAGTTAAATGAAATGCAGTCACACCAAATATCCGCTTGATGTGCATCATGGACCAGTTAGAATCAACTGGAACCAGTTGAATCTAACTGGTTCCAGTTGAAGTTAACTGGAACCAGTTGGAAATTTCAACTGGTGGTAACTGGTTTTTCCTTCTGGGCCACATGATAATTGAAATTAATGAGATACTTGGATAGGTTTTTTGTTAATAGCTTGTTCAGCCAATATGTTAATACAAAGTCTGATGATCTCATGTGCACACCCTGAAAGTGTTGCATGATAATTTACCATTTTAAAACAGATTAAAAAAACCAGAAAAAACTTCTTACCGCAAACTGATGTAAGGAATAGCTGAATAAAGATCAATCGTCGGACAATGTCTTCAAATCGCTTTCCTTCCATCGTGGCCAACTGGTTTGACTGCTTCAAGTTAAAATGTGAGATTATATCTTTTGTTCGTGAGACCTACAGGATGGCATCGTGCTTATCAACGTATTACGTTTATTTATGTGTGTTCATTTCAGGATGCCATTTTTATGGATCTTCTCTGAGGTTCCGGTTCACTTTCCGATTCTTTGAGGAAGCGAAATGAAAAATTCATTGACCTTTCACCTTTCATCGTCTCTAGGGCTGCAATAATGTAGTTCTCTTAACACGTAAACCGTCCCTATATCTGTTTCCTTCCTATGCTGTAGTCTATAAACACAGACACTATATTTTACACTATATTACAATCATTACTATGTATTGAGTGAAGCCTGAAAGTGTCTTCGAAAAAGACAGGAAAATGAAAAAGTCAGACTAGATAAAGCTTGAACTAGAAGAAGAGAGAGACATTAGGTGAAGTAATCAAAATAATTTAACACAGAATATTTAAAATTGAGATTTTTATGACAAGGAAATGCCTGGCTATCATTGTTTGCAGATGGGAAAGTAGTTTACAGACTGGGAAATCCTTGGATAGGATTGTAAAGAGCAAATAAAGGGATGGGGGGGGGGGGGGAATGATCTGAGTATGGACTGTGGTCTCGGTGTATAGTGCTAGATCAGACCCTAGCTCTCTTATGAATAAAAACTGACAAGTGTGTGTGCCCGCATACTACAGATGTTCCTATATTAGCCTTATAGACTCTTCATCTTCAATTTTTCGAACAAGCTATTCCCTGAAAACAAACAGTCTTATTTCTTCCGAGAAAAATAACTATCTCCTTCTCTCTTACATTCCCTACCTCTCAATTTCTAATTTCGTGATAAACTTTCCGGACATGGTCATGAAAGGACGTAGCTGTTACCATCTTGCCTGCCAATAGTTCACTTCATTCCTAAACGATACTTGCCCTTTTTTGTCGATGATATCAGCAATGAACCATTATACAATATAGTCTTTTTTTACGGACAAGGATCAAAACTATTGCATCTCGAAACTTTAATGGGTACATAGTACAGTCTCGAGATCAACCGAAGAGCTATATTTTAACCTTGACCCGCAAGAAGCAGCTATTACTTTGTCTATATCCGCATCCGCCCGCCGATTCTCAAAAAGGGGATATAATATCTCTTTTTTAATATTATAGTATTTCATATTGAAGTCAAATGAGGCAAAAAGTCTTGTGCGAAACCCATTGAAATGTGCGGACATGGCAATGTTATATTCCGTTATCTGAAAATGATTTATGTAGGCAGTAGCGTAGGATATAGAAATTGCCATTGAGAAGATTTCTTGAGAATCTTTGCAATTTCGATGTGTAAGAAAATGAAGGAGAAAGATGGAGCGAGAGAAAGGGTGGGGTGGCAATGTAAATGAAAGATATATAGTACCTCATTCGACATGAAATTCTCCCCTCTCCCCCCCTCTTTGTCTCCTCTCTTCTCTCTCACTCACACACACACACACACATACGCGCACGCGCACACACACGCACATACACAAACACACACACAAACTTTTGGGTGCCCGGGAGCGCTTTGGGGACTGAAGTTCCCTTCACGCGGGGACCCCAACACGGACAGAATGAGGAAGAAAAACAAGATAAATGCTCCATAGAGACCAACGATTTTAGAACAAGAAGCTGTAGATAATTCATATCTCGGCAATTTTGCTTTTACTTGATACAGAGCATCCAATTTATACATGCGATCAATAGGTACCCTGTCATAATTAATATGTAAATAAAAATGAATTAATGAGTGAATGGGGATCTATTCCAAAACTAGCGTGTCTTAGTTGACCACAAGGTGATTCTTGTAGGGAGCGCAGGCTTATTTAACCCATAGAAGCATGATTAGAAAGTCTCATATTTTCTTTAAATACGAACAGTGGGATGTTTTCAATAGACTTGAATGTGAAAGACCTTTTGTATTCTCTCATGCGAATTTTAAGGAGAATTTGTATGTGAGTTAATTTGTTTCGTTTTTAACTAGTTTATTGAATTGAAAAAAGCATATACACTCAAAATAGCAGCCGAAGGCTGAAACAAATTGAATTTACAAAAGGTTGAAGATTACATTAAAGTACAGTAACCTGAAAGTTGGTTGGACAAATATGTAAAGTAATAATAACATTACCAAACAAAAGTAAACGAGGAAATAGAAAAAGACAGGAAATTGAAAAGACAGACGATATAAACCTTGAAATAGGAGAAGAGGGAGAAATTTAGGTGAAGTAATCTAAATAATTTAACATATGACAAGGAAATGCCTTCTATCATTGTTTGCATATGTTATGAATTACGACTTACAAGTGAGTGTGTCTGCAAACTACAGATGTTCCTATATCACCCTTAATACAAACTCTCCATCTTCATGTTTAAAATTATCGGATAAGCTATTCCCTGAAAACAAAAATATTCTTTCTTCCGAGAAATATACCTCTCTACGTCTCTCTTACATTCTCAACCTCTCAAAACCTTTTGTGATAAACCTCTCTCCCTCTCTCTCTTACATTCTCAACCTCTCAAAACATTTTGTGATATACCTCTCTCCCTCTCTCTTACATTCTCAACCTCTCAACACCTTTTGTGATAAACCTCTCTCCCTCTCTCTAACATTCTCAACCTCTCAATACCTTTTGTGATATACCTCTCTCTCTCTCTATTACATTCTCAACCTCTCAATACCTTTTGTGATAAACCTCTCTCTCTCTCTATTACATTCTCTGCCTCTCAATACCTTTTGTGATATACCTCTCTCCCTCTCTATTACATTCTCAAACTCTCAATACCTTTTGTGATGAACCTCTCTCCCTCTCTATTACATTCTCAACCTCTCAATACCTTTTGTGATAAACCTCTCTCTCTCTCTCTATTACATTCTCTGCCTCTCAATACCTTTTGTGATATACCTCTCTCCCTCTCTATTACATTCTCACCTCTGAATACCTTTTGTGATAAACCTCTCTCTCTCTCTATTACATTCTCTGCCTCTCAATACCTTTTGTGATATACCTCTCTCCCTCTCTATTACATTCTCAACCTCTCAATACCTTTTGTGATAAACCTCTCTCTCTCTCTATTACATTCTCTGCCTCTCAATAACTTTTGTGATAAACCTCTCTTCCTCTCTCTTCCATTCACTACCTCTCAATACCTTTTGTGATAAACCTCTCTCCCTCTCTGTTACATTCTCTACCTCTCAATACCTTTTGTGATATACCTCTCCCCCTCTCTCTTACATTCTCTACCTCTCAATACCTTTTGTGATATTCCTCTCTCCCTCTTTCTTACATTCTCTGCCTCTCAATACCTTTTGTGATATTCCTCTCTCCCCTCTTTCTTACATTCTCTGCCTCTCAATACCTTTTGTGATATACCTCTCTTCCTCTCTATTACATTCTCTACCTCTCAATACCTTTTGTGATATACCTCTCTCCCCCCTCTCTCTTTCATTCTCTACCTCTCAATACCTTTTGTGATAAACCTCTCTTCCTCTCTCTTTCATTCTCTACCTCTCAATACCTTTTGTGATATACCTCTCCCCCTCTCTCTTACATTCTCAACCTCTCAATACCTTTTGTGATATACCTCTCTCCCTCTCTCTTACATTCTCTACCTCTCAATACCTTTTGTGATATACCTCTCCCCCTCTCTCTTCCATTCTCTACCTCTCAATACCTTTTGTGATAAACCTCTCTCCCTCTCTCTTTCATTCTCTTTCTCTCAATACCTTTTGTGATATACCTCTCTCTCTCTCTTACATTCTCTACCTCTCAATACCTTTTGTGATAAACCTCTCTCCCTCTCTCTTTCATTCTCTACCTCTCAATACCTTTTGTGATATACCTCTCTCTCTCTCTTACATTCTCAACCTCTCAATACCTTTTGTGATAAACCTCTCTCCCTCTCTCTTACATTCTCTACCTCTCAATACCTTTTGTGATTTACCTCTCCCCCTCTCTCTTACATTCTCAACCTCTCAATACCTTTTGTGATATACCTCTCTCCCTCTCTCTTACATTCTCTACCTCTCAATACCTTTTGTGATATACCTCTCTCCCTCTCTCTTACATTCTCAACCTCTCAATACCTTTTGTGATATACCTCTCTCCCTCTCTCTTACATTCTCTACCTCTCAATACCTTTTGTGATATACCTCTCTCTCTCTCTCTTACATTCTCTACCTCTCAATACCTTTTGTGATATACCTCTCTCTCTCTCTTACATTCTCAACCTCTCAATACCTTTTGTGATAAACCTCTCTCCCTCTCTCTTACATTCTCTACCTCTCAATACCTTTTGTGATAAACCTCTCTCCCTCTCCCTTACATTCTCAACCTCTCAATACCTTTTGTGATAAACCTCTCTCCCTCTCTCTTACATTCTCTACCTCTCAATACCTTTTGTGATATACCTCTCTCTCTCTCTCTCTTACATTCTCTACCTCTCAATACCTTTTGTGATAAACCTCTCTCCCTCTCTCTTACATTCTCTACCTCTCAATACCTTTTGTGATATACCTCTCTCCCTCTCTCTTACATTCTCTTTCTCTCAATACCTTTTGTGATATACCTCTCTCCCTCTCTCTTACATTCTCTTTCTCTCAATACCTTTTGTGATATACCTCTCTCCCTCTCTCTTCCATTCTCTACCTCTCAATACCTTTTGTGATAAACCTCTCTCCCTCTCTCTTACATTCTCTTTCTCTCAATACCTTTTGTGATAAACCTCTCTCCCTCTCTCTTACATTCTCTACCTCTCAATACCTTTTGTGAAATACCTCTCTCCCTCTCTCTTACATTCTCAACCTCTCAATACCTTTTGTGATAAACCTCTCGCTCTCTCTCTCTTACATTCTCTTTCTCTCAATACCTTTTGTGATATACCTCTCTCTCTCTCTCTTACATTCTCTACCTCTCAATACCTTTTGTGATAACCTCTCTCTCTCTGTTACATTCTCTACCTCTCAATACCTTTTGTGATATACCTCTCCCCCCTCTCTCTTACATTCTCAACCTCTCAATACCTTTTGTGATATACCTCTCTCCCTCTCTCTTCCATTCTCTACCTCTCAATACCTTTTGTGATATACCTCTCTCCCTCTCTCTTCCATTCTCTACCTCTCAATACCTTTTGTGATATACCTCTCTCCCTCTCTCTTACATTCTCTACCTCTCAATACCTTTTGTGATAAACCTCTCTCTCTCTGTTACATTCTCTACCTCTCAATACCTTTTGTGATATACCTCTCCCCCTCTCTCTTACATTCTCAACCTCTCAATACCTTTTGTGATAAACCTCTCTCCCTCTCTCTTACATTCTCTACCTCTCAATACCTTTTGTGATATACCTCTCTCCCTCTCTCTTACATTCTCTTTCTCTCAATACCTTTTGTGATATACCTCTCTCCCTCTCTCTTACATTCTCTTTCTCTCAATACCTTTTGTGATATACCTCTCTCCCTCTCTCTTCCATTCTCTACCTCTCAATACCTTTTGTGATAAACCTCTCTCCCTCTCTCTTACATTCTCTTTCTCTCAATACCTTTTGTGATAAACCTCTCTCCCTCTCTCTTACATTCTCTACCTCTCAATACCTTTTGTGAAATACCTCTCTCCCTCTCTCTTACATTCTCAACCTCTCAATACCTTTTGTGATAAACCTCTCGCTCTCTCTCTCTTACATTCTCTTTCTCTCAATACCTTTTGTGATATACCTCTCTCTCTCTCTCTTACATTCTCTACCTCTCAATACCTTTTGTGATAAACCTCTCTCTCTCTGTTACATTCTCTACCTCTCAATACCTTTTGTGATATACCTCTCCCCCTCTCTCTTACATTCTCAACCTCTCAATACCTTTTGTGATATACCTCTCTCCCTCTCTCTTCCATTCTCTACCTCTCAATACCTTTTGTGATAAACCTCTCTCCCTCTCTCTTACATTCTCTACCTCTCAATACCTTTTGTGATAAACCTCTCTCCCTCTCTCTTACATTCTCAACCTCTCAATACCTTTTGTGATAAACCTCTCTCCCTCTCTCTTACATTCTCTACCTCTCAATACCTTTTGTGATATACCTCTCTCTCTCTCTCTCTTACATTCTCTACCTCTCAATACCTTTTGTGATAAACCTCTCTCCCTCTCTCTTACATTCTCTACCTCTCAATACCTTTTGTGATATACCTCTCTCCCTCTCTCTTACATTCTCTTTCTCTCAATACCTTTTATGATATACCTCTCTCCCTCTCTCTTACATTCTCTTTCTCTCAATACCTTTTGTGATATACCTCTCTCCCTCTCTCTTCCATTCTCTACCTCTCAATACCTTTTGTGATAAACCTCTCTCCTCTCTCTTACATTCTCTTTCTCTCAATACCTTTTGTGATAAACCTCTCTCCCTCCTCTCTCTTACATTCTCTACCTCTCAATACCTTTTGTGAAATACCTCTCTCCCTCTCTCTTACATTCTCAACCTCTCAATACCTTTTGTGATAAACCTCTCGCTCTCTCTCTCTTACATTCTCTTTCTCTCAATACCTTTTGTGATATACCTCTCTCTCTCTCTCTTACATTCTCTACCTCTCAATACCTTTTGTGATAAACCTCTCTCTCTCTGTTACATTCTCTACCTCTCAATACCTTTTGTGATATACCTCTCCCCCTCTCTCTTACATTCTCAACCTCTCAATACCTTTTGTGATATACCTCTCTCTCTTTAACATGTGAAAGTGAACCAAATTTTATGTAAAGCCACATAGGTTTTTCATTTCTTGACGAATTCCATATTCTCCAAAAGAGATATAAAGAGCTTTTCTATTCCTTTTTGATCATTTAATTGATTTTTCAATTCGTTTTTCAGTTTTCGAAAAATTGCAAAAAAGACAAGATGAACAATATACTAGTTAAGTATGTACATCTATATAAAAAAACGTTTTTCTCTCCAAAACTAAAACTTATCTGTAATTGTAATAAAAGTAGTGCAGTAAGAATTGATGGTGCTCCACACAAAGAATAGAGCCTAAATAAAATAAAAAAATCATTTTTTTCCCTGAAATTATGCAAGAAAATATTTTTAATTAATTTTTTACATATTAAATATTTGTTTTGGACGAATAGCCCATCTATAAAATTTGTCATTGTGGAACAAAATTTAGGTTTTAGTTTCCTTCATAATTTCAAATTTTTCGATGAAGATTATAGATGAATGCTATTAAATTGATTATTTAACAACTATTTTTCGTTTTTTGTTGAAATAAAAGGAAATTTAGCATTGGAAACTTAAATATTTCATGGTGAAATTTAAGGCATCTCTAGAGAATGTGTATGAATGAATGGGAGATTGTCATTGTGAACCAGCTTTCGGGTCAATTCATACACCTAGTTTGACCATACATTTGTTTTATTTTTGCTCAAATGCTACTCTGAAATATCAAACAGACGTTAGATTTTGCTTTTATAGGATTTTAGAACTATATTTTTTCCACTTTTATGAGTTAAAAATCTGTTTGGAAAAAGGGTTATTTCTAATGTTGTTTAAAATACGCCCTCTTTTGTTCGAAAGTGACTTCTACGTGTAAAACATATGGGGCTCTAAAGCGAGTACATTTGTCACGATTCTGATCCCAGTCGGAGTGAACAGTGTGTCTAATCTCTCACAAAATCATGAAAGACACGTAGGAAGTCGGTGGCCATCATTTTGTTTATTCATCGCATTCGACTTCAAGCCCTGATCAACAATTTTGGTAAGCAATTTGTAAATGACGGATAAGATCTCCGTCTTTTCTGTGATGTTTGTGTTGTGAATATTACGTAGATCTAATCAGCAAGCTCCCCAGAACTCTGGCAGGGGGAAGCTGCTGTTCCGAAGAGAGTACGCGAGCTCATAATTCTTTACCCTCGGCCGTTTGTTTGATAAACAGGTTGTTTATCCGGACATTCAGGCTGAGAACAGTTGATTTCAAACAGTAATTTAGTCAATTACAAGGCTTAACTTTAGGATTTATGTACATAAACGTCATAGACCTAGGGTTAGGGTTAGGGATCATTAGGGTTAGGTTAGGGTTAGGTTAGGGTTAGGGTTAGAGTTAGGGTTAGGGTTAGAGTTAGAGTTAGGGTTTAGATTAGGTTTAGCGTTAGACCAAGTAACAAAAATAAAGTGTTTCTCGTCCCTGCCCACCTCCTTTTTGGCCGCTGCCTCCTTTTTTTTACTATTTACTATTTAGTTGAAATATACCCCCCCCCCAAAAAAAAAAAAAGAATGGTTAGACCCTATGTCTATAAATTTTGTTCAAATAGCTTCTATTTTAAGGTGATACAAATCATTTGTTTTGTCATACATGGCATCAGTATACTCACATAGCACAATATATGTGAATAAAATAGACTTGGCAAGCTATATTTGGTGCGGCAGCTATATTTGGTGCGGCAGCCATCTTTGGAGAAGAAAAAAAAAAATCGCAAAATAGTAAATAGTAATGCCCAGCTTCCTCTTTTTCCTGACGAGAAACACATTATTTTTAATATTTGTCCTTACTTAAGAAACAGAATTCTTCAGAATTAGCGTTGGGTAACCTAAGATTTCTCTTCATTTAATGCAGAGCCCGTAATAAGCGAGCCCTCCCCCCCCCCCCCCCCACATTCTATGTGGCTACGCCAATCATATTTCATAACTCTTTCTCGACTATAAAAAGTCTGAATGAAATTACTTTTTCCCCTTTATTTAATACAGAGGCTGCATTTTATAAGGCGAGCCTCCCCTCCCCCCCCCCCCCCGTGGCTACGCTAATCATATTTGCGTACTCTATCTAGTCTATTAATAGTTCCGACTGAAATTCAAGATTTGTTTCTCTTTATTTTATATATAACCTGTATTAGGTGAGCTCCAGATCCCCCCTTCCTTTACCCCGTGGCTATGCCCTTTATATTTCCCTACTCTTTCTCGACTATGATACGTCTAACTGAAATTACCTTATTTTCTCTTTATTTTATACAGAGCCTGTATAAGGCGAGCCCCCCCCCCCCCCTTAAACCTTTGGTTATGCCAAACACATTAACTTACTCTTTATCGACTATTATAGTTCTGACTGAAATTAAATATTTGTTTTCTCTATATTTTATACAGAGTCTGTATTGAGCGAGCCCTCCCCCCCCCACCCTAACCCCCCTTTCCCCCTGGCTACGCCAATCACAGTTACTTACTCTTTCTTGCCTATGAGAGTTCAGACTAATTTAAAGATATTCGTACAATACAGGGACTCTATTAGGTGAGCCACCTAATGGTTATGCCAAACACATTTACTTACTCTTTAACGATTATTATAGTTCTGACTGAAATTAAATATTTGTTTTCTCTATATTTTATACAGAGTCTGTATTGAGCGAGCCACCCCCCCCCCTCCCCATTCCCTGCTTAGCTACGCCAATCACATTTACTTACTCTTTATTGACTGTTATAGTTCTGACTGAAATTAAATATTTGTTTTCTCTATATTTTATACAGAGTCTGTGTTGAGCAAGCCCTCCCCCCCCCCTAACCCCCCTAACCCCACTTTTCCCCCTGGCAACGCCAATCACAGTTACTTACTCTTTCTTGCCTATGAGAGTTCAGACTAATTTAAAGATATTTGTACAATACAGGGACTCTATCAGGTGAGCCCCCCCCCCCTTTACCCCTTGGCTATGCAAATTGCCTTTATTTACTCTTTCTCGACTATGAGAGTTCCAAGTTCCAACTAAAATTAAAGATTTGTATTCTCTTTATTTAATATAGAGTCTGTATTAAGTGAGCCCTCCCCCCTCCCCATTCCCGCTTGGCTACGCCAATCAAATTTACTTACTCTTTCTCGACTATGAGAGTTTCAACTAATTTAATGATATTTTTTCCTTTTATATAATACAGGCCTCTTTTAGGTGAGCCACCCCCCCCCCCCCCCCCCTTTATCCCCTGGCTATGCAAATCACATTTATTTACTCTTTCTCGACTATGAGAGTTCCAACTAATTTAAAGATATTTATTTTCCTTTTATATATACAGGCCTCTTTTATTTGTATTCTCTTTATTTAATCTAGAGCCTGTATTAGGTGAGCCCCCCTCCCCTTACCACCTGGCTACGCCAATCACATTTTCTTACTCTTTATCGACTATTTTAGTTCTGACTGAAATTGAAGTTTTGTCTTCTCTTTATTTAATAGAAAGCCTGTATAAGGGGAACCCCCCTCCCCCATGCCCTATTTAATACAGAGCCTGAATTAAGCGAGCCCTCCCCCCCCCCCCCCACCCATTCCCCATGGCTACGCTAATCACATTTCCCAACTCTTTCTCGACCATAAAAAGTCAGACTGAAATTACTTTGTTTTCTCTTTATTTTATACATTACCTTCATAGGTGAGCTCCCCCCCCCCCTCCCCCTTCACCCGTGGCTACGCCAATTGCATTTCCCTACTCTTTCTCAAATATGATACGTCCGACTAAACTTATAGTTTGTTTTCTCTTTAATGCAGAGTCTGTATTAAGTGAGCCCTCCGCTCCCTTTACCCCTTGGCTACGCCAATCACCTTTTCCTCTCTCCTACTCGAATATGAGAGTTCCAACTAAAATAAAAGATTTGTATTTTCTTTATTTAATACAGAGCCTGAATTAAGCTAGCCCTCCCCCCCCCCCATTCCCCATTTAATACAGAGCCTGAATTAAGCGAGCCCTCCCCCCCCCATTCCCCATTTAATACAGAGCCTGAATTAAGGGAGCCCTCCCCCCCCTCCCATTCCCCATTTAATACAGAGCCTGAATTAAGCGAGCCCTTCCCCCCCCCCCATTCCCCATTTAATACATGACCTTCATAGGCGAGCTCCCCCCCCCCCACATTCCCCATGGCTACGCTAATCACATTTCCCAACTCTTTCTCGACCATAAAAAGTCAGACTGAAATTACTTTGTTTTCTCTTTATTTTATACATGACCTTCATAGGCGAGCTCCCCCCCCTCCCCCTTCACCCCGTGGCTACGCCAATCGCATTTTCCTACTCTTTCTCAAATATGATACGTCCCACTAAACTTATAGTTTTGTTTTCTCTTTATTTAATGCAGAGTCTGTAGTAAGTGAGCCCTCCGCTCCCTTTACCCCTTGGCTACGCCAATCACCTTTTCCTCTCTCCTACTCGAATATGAGAGTTCCAACTAAAATAAAAGATTTGTATTTTCTTTATTTAATACAGAGCCTGAATTAAGCTAGGCCTCCCCCCCCCCATTCCCCATTTAATACAGAGCCTGAATTAAGCGAGCCCTCCCCCCCCCCATTCCCCATTTAATACAGAGCCTGAATTAAGCGAGCCCTTCCCCCCCCCCATTCCCTATTTAATACAGAGCCTGAATTAAGCGAGCCCTCCCCCCCCCCATTCCCCATGTAATACAGAGCCTGAATTAAGCGAGCCCTTCCCCCCCCCATTCCCCATTTAATACAGAGCCTGAATTAAGCGAGCCCTCCCCCCCCCCCCTATTCCCCATTTAATACAGAGCCTGAATTAAGCAGGCCCTTCCCCCCCCCCATTCCCAATTTAATACAGAGCCTGAATTAAGCGAGCCCTTCCCCCCCATTCCCCATTTATACAGAGCCTGAATTAAGCGAGCCCTCCCCCCACCCATTCCCCATGGCTACGCCAATCACATTTCCCAACTCTTTCTCGACCATAAAAGTCAGACTGAAATAACTTTGTTTTCTCTTTATTTTATACATTACCTTCATAGGTGAGCTCCCCCCCCCCCCTCCCCCTTCACCCCGTGGCTACGCCAATCGCATTTCCCTACTCTTTCTCAAATATGATACGTCCGACTAAACTTATAGTTTGTTTTCTCTTTATTTAATACAGAGCCTGAATTAAGCGAGCCCTCCCCCCCCCCCATTCCCCATTTAATACAGAGCCTGAATTAAGCGAGCCCTCCCCCCCCCCCCATTCCCCATTAAATACAGAGCCTGAATTAAGCGAGCCCTCCCCCCCCCCCCCCACCCATTCCCCATGGCTACGCCAATCACATTTCCCAACTCTTTCTCGACCATAAAAAGTCAGACTGAAATTACTTTGTTTTCTCTTTATTTTATACATTACCTTCATAGGTGAGCTCCCCCCCCCCCCCTCTCTTCACCCCGTGGCTACGCCAATCACATTTCCCTACTCTTTCTCAAATATGATACGTCCGACTAAACTTATAGTTTGTTTTCTCTTTATTTAATGCAGAGTCTGTATTAAGTGAGCCCTCCGCTCCCTTTACCCCTTGGCTACGCCAATCACCTTTTCCTCTCTCCTACTCGAATATGAGAGTTCCAACTAAAATAAAAGATTTGTATTTTCTTTATTTAATACAGAGCCTGAATTAAGCTAGCCCTCCCCCCCCCCCCATTCCCCATTTAATACAGAGCCTGAATTAAGCGAGCCCTCCCCCCCCCATTCCCCATTTAATACAGAGCCTGAATTAAGGGAGCCCTCCCCCCCCCATTCCCCATTTAATACAGAGCCTGAATTAAGCGAGCCCTTCCCCCCCCCCCATTCCCCATTTAATACATGACCTTCATAGGCGAGCTCCCCCCCCCCCCCACCCATTCCCCATGGCTACGCTAATCACATTTCCCAACTCTTTCTCGACCATAAAAGTCAGACTGAAATTACTTTGTTTTCTCTTTATTTTATACATGACCTTCATAGGCGAGCTCCCCCCCCCTCCCCCTTCACCCCGTGGCTACGCCAATCGCAT